CTGTGGAGCAGGCAAAAAAAGGGGCCAGTCTGAATGAGGTCCAAAGAATTCCTGCCAAGCCCCTCAAAAGGCAACCAACTTATCACACATTAGGGAAAAGGAGGGCAGATGAGCCAACTTGCAGCAAATGCCTGCTGCAGAGAGCAGTGCAGAGCTCAAATAGTTTCTCTAGCCATCTTCTTATTAGGTGCCACACGAGACAGTAAATGGCTCAACAACAGTGCTCTTGTGCCTTATTTAAAACTAGCAGTAAAGCCCGTTGTGGAAATAAATACAACGGGATCTAGAAAGAGGCTCTGGGGGAGTGCTCTGGCTTTGGGCAAACAGTGTCATTTTGCTGTGGTGACAGGGTATAATGGCAGGGTATAATGGCAGAGTCCACTGTTTTCTCCAGAGGAACTGATCTCTGCTCCCTGAAGAGCAGTTGTAATTTTGAGTGATCTGTAGCCCTCACCTGGAAATTGGCAACAATTGTTACCCAGGACGAAATGGCTGGTTTGGAGGGTGGAGTCTATGACATTCTACCTGTCTGATGTCCCACCCCTCCGCAAACTCCACCCTCTCCAGGCTCCACCCCTTAAATCCCCAGGAATTTGCCAGCCTGGAGTTGGCAACCCCATCTCCTTCGCAGGTAACCATCCACCTACCATTATCTGCCCCTTTGACTTCAGCTGACTTCCGCTCTCCCTTCTGCAGAGCAATTGTAATTTTGAGTGGTCTCCAGCCCTCACCTGGAGATTGGCAACAATGGTTCCCCATGAGGGACTGAGTGGTTTGGAGGGTGGAGTCTATGGCATTGTACCTGTCTGAGGTCCCACCCCTCCTCAAACCTTACCCTCTTCAGGCTCCATCCCTCAAATCTCCAGGAATTTCCCATTGGGAGTTGGCAACCCTATCAGGATTGGCCCCAATATGTTTTCTCCCAAAGGGCAAAGTAGGTGACTGGACCAAACTTAGTTGCTTACCAACAGGCACTGAGGGGAAAGTAGGGTTGCCAGCTATAAGGAGGGAAATACCTGGAGTTTTGGGGGGTGGATTCTGTAGAGGGCAGCATGGGGGGGGCGGGGGCGGAAGGACTCAGCAGGTATAATGTCATAGGGTCTACCCTCCAAAGCAGCCATTTTCTCCAGGGGAAACTGATCTCTGTCATCTGGAGATCAATTGTAGCAGTGGGAGATCTCCAGGTCCCACCTGGAGATTGGCAACCCTAGGGGAAAGTCAGCTGCACAGCAGGGGGTTGAAGAGAATGGTTTGATGGGTGCTGGGCCAAGATTGGCAACAATAGTTCCCCAGGAGCAAATAGCTGGGTTGGAGGGTGGAGTCTATGGCACTGTAACCTGTCTGATGTCCCCCTCTCCGGCCTCCACTCCTCAAATCTCCAGGATTTTCCATACCTAAAGCTGGCAACTTTATCTCCTCCCCTCTCAGTAGCCTCTTATTTTGCCTTAAATTGGTTTTGATGCCAGCAGAGTGAGAAAATGCCAGAGGCTCTGGGTGGGTGCCTCATCGTAAATGCACCAAACAATTCCTAAAGATTTGCCAAAACACTACTCTGTCGACAAATTGCAGCACTTTGAATTAGCACCAGAGCTTTAAGAGCTCTCCAGCTGTCACCTGGAGACTGGCAACAGCTTGTTTGGAGGGTGGGGAGTATGGCATTGTATCTGTCTGAGGTCCTCCTCTTTCTCTTCCTCCTCCTCCTCCTCAGACCCCACCCTCAGCAGGCTTCATTCCTTGAGGTGTGGAATGGAGTGAAGTCCAATCAGCTTCCATATGCAAAAGACCTTGAAGGTTCCATATGCAACTGACATTCCAACTGCCTTGCGGGGAGGGGGGTGAGTTTGAGGTGTGGAATGCAGTGAAGTCCAATCAGCTTCCATATGCAAAAGACCTTGAAACACTGGGCGGGACTGCACAAAGCAACCAGTCAACCCAGCCAGCGTCTTCTGACTGACAGTTCAAGCGTCCATACACTAAAGGGGCCAAATTTAGAATGTTCATATAGAATGTTCTTACTCAATTATATATAAGGAGAGATTGGAACTAATTATCTGGGAACTATTGATGAAACTGACACAAATGTCAACAGAGCCCCAAATCAGGGGGTCCCATCAAGATTACCTTTAGGAGATTATCATGACCTACTATTAGAAAACAGGGGTTTCTCTTGAAGAAAATTACCTTGGCATCTGAAATACTATAATGGTGAAACTAGCTAAAAGTGTATGTTTAAAGATGGTCGGCAGGACAATTATAACCATTTAACTTTACAAGAGAGGATATGGATTCTCTCCCACTGCTGCTAAAAGGTTCTAACAAAGGAGATTGTCAGACATGCATTACAGTAAATATCCCAGATCAGTGTATCTGATGACAGTGAGCTGGAAAATTTGTTGATCTTTACGATGCTATCAGACTTGAATTTTGTTCTACTACTACAGACAAACCCGGCTATCCACTGGCTATCCCATGTATCTGCCCCATATACCTCCTAAACTACTTTACTAGACTAGGAAGAAAAGACAGAAAACCATGAAAAACAGGAAGCAATCTGAGTTTGGGGAACCCATGACCTTTTACTTCGGAGAGACAATCCCAAAAGTCCCATTCAATAAGAAAAAAAATGGCATCTTCACACCATTTTGCCCCAGGAATTCTTGGCATTTGGTGGATATCATACAAGTACGTAAAAATGCCAGATACAGCTCTGACCTGGATAGCCCAGGCAAGCTTAGTCTCTTCAGGTCTCAGAAGCTAAGCAGGATCGACTGTGGCATACCAGCAGTCGGGAGGACAGGGGCAGACTTTAATCAGCCACCTCTCTGAATATCTTCCAGGCCCCCAGTAAGGGTCAGTCCCCAGACGTCACCATGACTTCTAGGTGCACACACAGTCAGTCACCAGAGGTCGCCATGACTTCCAGGTGCACATGCACTCATACGCACAACATAAAATGCCAGATGTAGAAATAGTCCTCTGCCTTTGGATTTATTTAACAGTGAAAAGGAAACAATGGCTAGTGAAAATAAAATACATTGGTACAGCAAACAGTTCCCCTATGTTTTTACCTAATCCCTGGGCATGGCCTGCCCATTTCCTGGCAACAGGAAAGGGAGCTAGAAGGAGCACTAAAGAATCTCTGGAAGGACTAATACAAGAACCTCTTACAACAATGATGCCCCTCCCCAAGCCCAACATATGCTAAAGGAAATTGCAAACTGGCAGAGCCACCCCAAGGAATTAATGCAGCCACAGTATCTTGTCACACACTTCTTATAAAGGCAGCATGTATCACTGGAGCCAGGCAGAGTTAAGTTCTACTTCGTGTCATCTCTTGCTGTTCCTTTTCAGAAGAGAAATCCTTTCTCAGCCATGGCAGAATTCTCCCTGCAATATCATTTATGTGATGCCATCAAAATAAGGACAATCCTCTCATTATAGCAGTGCCTAATAGTACTGCCCCCATCAGCTGCTGGACCCAACTGAAAACCTGAGAGTTTGATACTTGAGAGCTGCATTCGGGTTTTAAATTCCATCATGTTACTGACTAAGCCCTTCTTTCAACTGAGGCGAGTGTAAAAACCTTGGTTACAATATTTCTCCCCCCGGAAACCTGAAGCTCGGTGGCTTTTGTACATTTCCCAGCAAATATCAGAATTTTAGAATAGAAGACAATCACTGCCAAAACCCCTACTCTACAAGGTTCAACTACTAAGCTAAAATGCCTACACTTCAGAACACTCCAACACTTAAAAAAACAACAACCCACAAGGCAACTTGCCCACCTGGCAACATAGATGCAGCTCTCTCACCCCAAGCCCCCCACCTCATATTCAGTGCTTGCTCAGGGCCTTACTGGTCAACAGCAATATACATTACTGAGAGTAACCACTAAGATAAGACACATCTGTCCCTATCTCTATGAATGGTTCTGTGAGAAAGGAGGCCAAAGACAGCATATGGTTCTAGAATGGAAAACAGGAAAGGCCCCACTTTCTTTCAGCTTGGCATTGAGGATACCTCAGCCAACCACCACTATATTTCAGGGCCTGGATGGAAGACCTCCTGGGAACCTATGTAAAGCACCCTTAGTTTTATGATGAAAGAAAGGAGGATATATAAATGCAACACATATAAATATTTCATTATTCTGAGATGTTGTGGAACAAAGAATTAATGCATGGGCAGAACTTTCAAAGAATTAGGGACACAATATAAATTACTAGACATGCACATCCACTAATCTTTATTTTTATTTATTTTTATGACCCTCAAAAACAAAACAAGCACATCAAAAGCCACATACTGAGAATTTCCCTAATGTTTTTACACATGTACCCTCTCAGAAAGAGTCAGAGAAACTGAGGCCCAGTAGAAACAAAAATCTCCATGTGTGGCACCAAACAGCTCTGGACCACTTGAACAGCAGGTTGAAGACTGTAGGTAGGACCCCATGCAGACTTTCCTGCCCCCCAGGGCTTCTATTCCCTTCAAAATTGTGTCCCCATGGGGTATGGATCCTCAGGAATATAATGGGAGTTGAAGGAGGGGGCTGCAGCGAGAGACTGGAATAGACAAAAATCACCCTCCCACTATACTGCAAGTGGAAGTGCCTACTGTGAGAGGAAGGGGCACTTTGGGTCCAGCATGTCAGAAAGCTCACCCATCTAAAAACACACGCTGCACACAGGAGATGCAATATAAAGGTAGAGGGTCTTCAACCTCACATGCAAGCTCACTGTGTGTGGTGTTATTTTTTGTGTGGGAGTATTCAATATCACTCTCCTTCCCCCCACCATCTGAAGCAATGCAATTAAACAATAGCTGTGGCACATACAGAACTGTTTATTTAGGGCATACCTCAGGAACACAGGACTGATGACAGCTCAGATTAATGCAAAAAGAGAGAGAGAGAGCCAAAATCACAGTCCTCAAAATGTAATCCAGCATAATTTCTAAGTAACAGAGCACAACAGACATTAAACAAAGCAGAACAATACCTTTTATTGCACCCACAATGTTTTGGTCTAGTCCTTTTCGGTTATCGTTGAGGCCTCTTTTCCTCTTGCCATTGGGTAAGGAGTTGGCCAAGGTCTTGTCATCAAAAAACGCACATACCAGCTTTCGAAACAGCAGGCTTCCTGAGCGAGTGTAATTGGCTAAGATAGAGTCCAGTTGGGATTTGGGCATGAAGACATCAAAGCCCTCAGCAAGTTGCACTTCTGGCTACCGAAAGAATATCAATGTTTGATTAGTACTTTCTTTATGTACCTCTCTGAATATTCAAATCAATCTGAATTTGTTAGCATCAAGAGATGCTAGGTTTTCCTGGCCCCATTTTACCCATCTCAAATCATCAACCAATTGTAACAAAATGCAAGTTACAAATATTACATCCATTAATAGATTCACACACTATTCTACATATTAAATGTTACTAAAAAAAATCCCCATGTGACTGGTTATCTACAAATTTAATGCTGGCAAATAGAACTTCAAAATATTTAGCCAGTCTTGCCAGCACCATCTCTTACAAATTTAACACTGGTTATTAGGAACTTGAAATATAATCACTGCAACTGCAGTCCTGACCGCAGGACCGCAGTCCTGACCCATTAATGAATTCCATTATAGCCAACAGTTTTATCATATGCTGGGACCTAGGTTTCTCTGGCCATAATTGAAACTTTGTCATATAAGAAAAGGACCATTAAGAGTATAACAATTTAAGAACTGCCTTGTTGCGTCAAACTAATGTTTATGTCGTTCATCAGTAGCCAATTACATTTCCCTGAGAAAACCACAGGGTTGGGTCAGGGTATTTTGTCATTCCAAGTACGGTACGCCCACATGGGCCCACACTACCACCAGATGAGTCCAACACAAGTCCTGGAACTGTGATGGCGTGGGCCCAGGAAGTGATCCAAGTCATCACCACCACCTGCCGCCAATGGCTAGCAGTGCCCCTGAGGTACTGTACTGCCCAAAGCAGTTGTCAGGGTGGCTTGATTGGAGAACCAGCCCTGGAAGCCCATAAACAGGACACAAGGCAATAGATTCTCTCTGTTCTGTAGACAACATCTGGAATTCAGAGCTAGATAGCTTCTATGCAGAAGAGTCTCTTTAGCTACCATAGTTAATAGTTGTTCATAGACCTATCTTCCAGGAACCCATCTACTTCTTAAGAGCTTATCTAAGCTAGTAACCATTCCCCCAGTATGTAGTGTGAACTGCATGGAATGCAGCATCCAGGGTACTTTCTTTTGCCTCCTTGTAAATATGTAACTCACCACAACTACCACATGGAGCATTACCAGACAACATTTTAGAATTACTTTGCAGTAATTACACAGAGTGTTTTGATAGCCATGAGCAGTGGCATTGCACATTTTTAAGTTTCGGTCAAGAACCCGTTCTAGCCACTTACAGCAAATTTCCCACAATTATAAATTACAGAACAAAATGACTTAGCAAAATACTTGCACTTATTCTTTTCTGCATTTAAAGACTGTAAGTACAGGGGGCCCCCGCATAGGTCACTGTCAGAACATTGTTAAAACATTGACAGCACAGAGTTTTCAAAGTGTAGAAAAGGTAGGAAAGGTTACAAAATCAGGTAAATCTAGAATATTTTAATCAGAACTCAGCATGAAGCTCTCAGGGTGAGAATGACAGATGCTGATCAGAAACACCATCCCGTCCGTTAATTGACTTCAGCACCATCTCAGTGACACGCGCGTCTATGATATTTTTAATTGTGTCCTTGTTTTCCATGTAACAATCAAACTAATTAAAGTAGTCCTAATTTCTATTAGAAAGTGATGACAACTTCAGAAACTTGTGAGTCAGTATGAAATATGTGTCTTCAAAGAACTAGGGAAATAAGTTTCTAACAAGACAGAGAGAAGCTTCCCACTGCCCCACACTCAGTATGCTACGGAACTTGTAGGCAACAATCTTGGCTTATTTGGGTTTTTTAAAGGTTTATGTAAGGGGTTAAAAGCCATGATTCCATCCAACTGAGTCCTGCAAACACACAGAGTACTTTCCTCTTCTATAGGTAGCAATGACAAACTATCTGTGTGTGTGTGAATGAAAGAGAGAGGGATTCTTTGGAAGCCACATCTAAGCCTGCTTGTTAACAACCAATTATTCCTTTTATTTTGCGAAGTCAAACAAGTTGATCTTCTAAACATGTGCACAAATTGAGTAGGAAATAGATGCAGTTATTTCCAGTTCTTAGTCTCATCTGTCTTGGGACAGACAACAATCTAACACTAGAAGGAAAACAGAAAATCATGAACAAGTATTTCTTATATAAAACCAGTTAGCACATCATTTTACAAATCAGAATCAGGTAGAGGTCTTTTTCATCACATGGAGATGCCGTCATTGAACCTCGGACCTTCTGTATGCCAAGGAGATGCTCACAAATCCCCATACAGCCAGCCCATCTATTCAGCTGGTATTCCATTTGCTCATTTTCATGTGTTTTTAAAAATGTATAACAATCACAAACATGCACAAAAGATGACTGTCCTTGATGTGTCAGAGCTGAAAATAAGGTGTCGTAATTTTTGCTCTCATTTCCCACCCTTAGTGATCCAGAGAAGTCTGGAAATCAACGCCGTATTACTATATTGTTTGGATCAGAGCTCCATTTGCAAAACAAATTCACTGTTAGATGACCTCATCTTCCTAATACTCCTCTTCATCTCCCTGTTGACTAGTATTTGTCATATACGATAAAAAGTTATGTTATAATAATGACTGGCACACAACTTCCCAATGATCAGGCTATTACATGGCAATAGCAATAATCACGACTGTGTATACTCTCCTGCCAGAAAATCAACACACTAGCACCACAAGGAGTAGAAACTAGTCTGTTCATTTGACAGCAGGCAATGCCCAGCTTCAGTTAAACTTCCAGTCACTGTTATTTGTATATCTGTGTGCATGTTTTATAAATGAATCCATCTGTACCCTAGTCACATAATAGGAAAATAAATTGCTGATTTATTTCATATTCTTTCAGTAGTAAATTATCCTTCAATTGCAAGCATTTGAGCCTCATGTGGACATCTCCAAGTACAATGTATAGCTAATAAGAATTTGTTAACATAAAATAATAAAGTCAATGGTGTACATAATTAACACAAATAAGGGAGAATTACCAAAACTTTTTAAATGCTAAAATTAGCAGACAGCAAATTAAATGTATTAAATTTATTCCTAAATACTTAAAAAAATGTTTTATGGGTTAAAAATGGGCCTCCTTTACCAATCCTACATAAGTTGCTTTGCTTAATTTCCTTTGTAAGGAAAACAAATTAGACCTTTTCTTAGATGCAGAATATTCATTTGATCTTTGATGACACAATAAAATGGAGTAAGTAGTACAGTATATTATCCTGATACAGAAAACTGCCTGCATGCAAACACTCATTGTGGCCACAAACAAACCCCCACCTTCGACATGAGAACAGTCATACTGACTTACTTTACAGGACTGCTGTACCGATAAAGGTAACATATGCACAGCCTTACTAACACTCCACTGTATGTATCTGTGCAATATAAATGCTAAATTACAATGGCCCAACTATTGTCACAATCACCTCTTGCATGTACAGGGTTTGCCACTGATTTCAATGAAAGCATCAAAAGTAGGGGTAGGTTACTAGAAACATATCTGGAATCAAGAGAGCTGTGGCTAAGCCACACATTTTGGTCAACATGTCATGCTGGGTTTATGAGAAGCATACCAAATTGTTACCCTTGAAACTGAACATCATGAGTCATCCATTGAACTCTCATAATGAACTGTCTTAGAAATTATAAGAGCCAAAAATTCAAACCAACAGCATGACCCTACCTATGTTTACTCATATATAAAGGGGGCTTACTCCCCAAATAAGTACACATAGGACTGCAGCTGTACAACCAGATCCTCTGTGTACATACTAAGAATTGTCTTATCATGTTCTAACAGGCTTCTCCCTGAACTAAGTGAGCAAAGGAAGGAGCTTATTTTCTGGTTTCTGATCCCTTAACCTCTTTGGCATTGTATGTTCAGATTTAGCTCTTGTTAAAAAAAAGAAAAAGTTAAGAATTCTCATGAATGTCAACAGCCTGCAAGTAGCACTGAAGTACTGCAAGCACCACACGCAACTGAGGGCACTTCTGAACTGGAAGAGTTTGCATGATTTCAAGAACACAGGACATACACAAGTAGAAATTAGGCTATTTGTATTAATGGACGCTCTGAAAATAATTTATATGTATACAAAATGGTACAAACTGCAGCAGAAATACATTTCAAGTAAAATACAATATAAACAGTTTATGTTCTACTTTTAAAGGCATCTCATGGCTCATTGAGATGATTATTCCACAAAAACAGCTAAGAACCAGAGAAGCATGCTGGCAAATCCTTGCAGGCCACAACAAGGCCTGAATGCCAGCCTTCTGAATGCCAGCCTCTTCCACAACCACCACCCATTGTACCATAAGGCAAGATTGTTTTCTAATGTTCCTTTGTAACCATGGTCATCCAGACCTTTAAGGTACTTTCTAGAAGGGCAAACAAAACCTTATCATCCTTTGTTAAGAGAAATGAGGAACAGTGACTTGCCCAAAGCTGTCCAGGTAGCTTCATGGCTAAGGGAGGATCTGAACCCAGGTTTCCTTGCTCCAAGCACAACTGTACCAAACCCTCTTCATCAGCTCAGAAGTGAGCTCTGAAGTAAGTTTAAAAACAAATATGTCTTTTATAATCTGCCAGGCAGTTTATTTTTATCTCTGAAAATATTACATAGAAGAAGAAGAAAAGTTGGTTTTTATACCCCGCTTTTCTCTACCCAAAGGAGTCTCAAAGCAGCTTACAATTGCCTTTTCTTCCTCTCCCCATAATAGACACCCTGTGAGGTACATGGGGCTGAGAGAACTGTGACTGACCCAAGGTCACCCAGCTGGCTTCATGTGGAGGAGTGGGGAATCAAGCCCGGTTCTCCAGGTTAGAGTACACTGCTCTTACCCAGTACGCCACACTGGCTATGTTCTACCACGACAGCGTCACTCATTAGAGCAGGGTCTTCTGCAGGTTCCAGCCTGCAAATGGGCAAAATCAACTACTGTCTGTACATGTGCCTTTCCCATTGTGACTCCCACTTCCCGAGGAAGTCAAGAAACCTCCCACTCTCCTGACTGTCCACAAACTATGC